GCAACAGAAATTTACAATGTCTTTTGAGAAATAAACGTTTTTTGCTCTTACACATCTATATAGACTTGTCAGCTTTTCTTTTTTTTTTGCTGGATTCGGATCGTACTTTTCTCCCGATCGTACGTTTATTTTCCGCATTTTTTTTCTTTCAAAAACGCATCAATGAGGTTCTACTGTATTGCATCACCAGTGCTTTATTCCACCTTGATATGCTCGGCCACAGAGTTGGGGAATCCGGCATGCTATATGCTAAGTGGCGGCATTCGATGATGATGTGCAATATACTGATATGCTTAGGTTCGGTGATGACACAACAGGTTTGGTCTTGCATTTCGGGGGCCGACGCGAAGCCACTGTGCAACGAGCTCAGCGGGCGGTCCGCGGCCAATGTGCATTAAGTCCAACCGTAGTTTGAAGGCACCATTGGGCGATTTGATTAGTTGCTTGCGACAAAGCACACTGCGACTAGTCCGCTAGCGCGATGTCTTTGCCCGCAGGTTTGTATTCGTCCCATATCAGCGCCGTGAGCGACCTCACCGCCACTGCTCGTTCGCACTCCTCCCATCATGTCGTTCCAGTCGGCGCAGACAAGAGAGTACAACGACGATAGGTATACGTTGCCAACCTTTGTACATGCCGGATCAGTCAGCCATCATTTAAACGAAGCCAGTCTATTACATCGATGACAGGCGCACGTCCCCTCGGAAATCAGATATTTGGCGTACACCCGACTGCCGGCCTCAGTGCTTTCACTGCGGTGAAGCGGATCACTTGTGCCGCCAGTGTCCATACCACCGCCTTGGGCCTTGCAGCTTCTCTGCGCACTCGCGGCCGCCCCGGTACGGCCAGCGACCTTGTGACATAGAAAGCTACCTCACCCAGCATCGTGCACCACCGTCCGCATAGCACCAGTCGTATTCTCTACCGCCGAGGCGATTTTCTGCCCCAGCGGTATTCTACCGCACGGTCTTCCAGTCCATGCCGGGAAAACTAACTCGAGCAACTTCTGGGGGCGAGGTCGCCAAACATCGAAGTGCTGAAAACCTCCGATCGACACAGAGACATAACGATAATGAACCGACATCTCCTGCAGTTGCACAATACGACCGGCTTTCACTTGACATACCAGTGACGAGTGATGGTTGTTACGTGGTTGACGCCTTAGTGGACACCGGCGCCGACTACTCTATATTGATTGGGAAACTGGCCTCTCAGCTAAAGAAACTATTCATGCCGTAGCACAACTCGCAGATTCGCATGGCTGGCGGCCATGTTGTTACTCCACTGGACACCTGTGCTACTAGAGTTCAGATCCAAGGATATACCTTCGTCGCAAGCTGCCTTGTCCTACGCGAGTGCTCTCATGACGTTATACTTGGAGTTGACTTTCTGCAAAGATATGGCGCTATTATTGACCTGCAAGAGTGACTTGTCACGTTTTCAGCTGACCGAGCAATCCATGTACAGGACGACAAATGGCATCTCGACGTACTTCGTGTTTCTGCAGACAGCGTCACGCTTCCTCCTCGAGCAAGCGTCATGGTCGACGTCACATGCTGACGATGGCAAAGCGGTGGTCGAGAGGAACTTAGAGCACCTACTGAAACAAAACGTTTATGCAGCCAGAAGTGTCATACAGCTTCGTGGTGGCCGATCGCAGTTACTTGTTACCAACTTTAGCAATGAGCATCGACACTTCTTCCGTGGCACTTCGAGCGCTTTTGCCAACGAAATAAAAATAGGTTCGCAACTGTTTCACGTGCCATCTCATCAGTGCCATCTGCAGTCTTACTGTTGGCTGTTTTTTGAAATGTTCACTGTTTTTTATTTCGTTTTTATCACCGTGCAATTTTTTGTATGTGTGTGTGTGTGTTTTTGTGTTGTGTACTTAATGAACGCGCGTGTGACCAACGCGTGAGCGACGCCGGGACGGCTTCCCCTCCGTCTCCTGCGGCCCCAACGCAAAGAATTTGGCTGCGAAGGTGAAAATATTGAAGGCGTCGCAAGTGGCAGCATCTCGAAAAGAAGTGATGAAAAAAGTTCAGCGTGAAGAAAAGCACGCTGAGCACTTACGTGAAGAATGAAGAGCAGATTGTGCAAGCGTATGATGGGGACATGTTTGGCGACCAAAGGAAGAGGCTTCGAACGGCAGCGCATCCCAAGCTAGAAGAGCGCTGTTGCGCTGGATTGCCGTTTTGCGTGATGCGCGTTGGCCCTTGAGCGGCCACCTTATCTACGCACAAGCAGAGAAGTTCGCGGTGATCATGAACATTGACTCGTTCAATGCGTCGAAGGCTGGTTCGACCGCTTCAAAAAGAGACACGGGCTGGTGTTCCGCAACGTGTGTGGTGAAAGAGGTGGGGTTGACGATAGTGTTGTGCAGGACTGGCAGTCTGGACTATCCACGTGCCTTTGTACGTAAGAGCCGTGCAACATTTTCAATGCTGATGAGACAGCGCTGTTCTATAAGGCTCTGCCTGACAAGACCATTGCATTTAACCGTGCGTCGGTGGAAAACGAAGTAAAGAGCACGTGACAGTTCTTCTGGCTGCTAACATGACCGGCACAGAGCGGCTGCTGCTGCTGGTGATCAGGAATGCTGCGAAGCCAAGATGTTTTAAGAATATTAAGCAGCTGCCTGTCGACTACCGGTTCAACAGAAAGGCGTGGATGACTGCCGAACTTTTTCAAGCCTGGCTGCGTCAGCTCGACCACCGCTTTGTGGCCAAGGCTCGGAAGGTGTTGTTCATGCTAGACAACTCTAGTGCGCACACGAAGGTGTCCCGGCTCAAGAACATTGAACTGCTATTCCTGCCTCCGAACACAACGGCTTCCCTGCAGCCAATGGACCAGGGAATCATACAGCTCGTGAAAAGCCGCTATCGACGGCAGGTACTCGAGTGAAGTTGCTCTGCATGGAGTCAGGCAAGCAGTACGAAGTAAGCCTGCTAAGCGCAATCCACATGCTGACATACGTGTGGAACAACACACTGCCTGCAGTAGTCGCAAACTGCTTTAGTATAGTGGCTGCGTGCACGACGCTGGTGATCCAGGCGTGGTGGCCAATGAGGCGAAGAGCAAGACGGCTGCTATGTGAGCATCATGCCAGCTGATGTGCCCCTGGGCAATTACTTCGCAATTGACAGCGATGTTGCCGTGGCTGGCACAGTGACCGACAGCAATATTGTCGCCGAAGTCTTGGATGGCGAAGGGGAATCGGCTGACATGAATGTAAGTGATGCTGACGAGCGTCCACGCCACATTATGACAGTGGCTGCGCATGCGTTGGCCGTTTTGAAGGACATATGCATGCTTTTCTCGGACAGTGTGCACGGACTAAGCCACCTGCAAGAACTTCGCAAAATTGTGACTTCATCGCACATTGCCTCCGTGAAGCAAATCGCGATCACAGACTCTTTTAATAAATAAAAGTCTGATGGTGTAGAAGACATTATTCAAGTGTTTTGTTCGTACTCGCTATAATTCGTACCCTCGGTTAATTCAGACATTCTCCCCGGGCCCCGTGAAGTCCAAATTAACGGGGTTTTACTGTAATACCCGCCACGGGGAAGTGGTCTACAACCCCACTGACCAAGTTTGGGTGTGGACGGCCGTGCGCCGGCAAGGCTTTAGTGAAAACTTAGCTGCTATTTCACCCGTACAAAGTGCTACGCCGCATCAGTGACGTGAACTACAAAGTGGTCCCGGACACAAACTGCAGGCACGGACCAGGACATGGCCGAGCCCTAACATAGTTAATGTTGTGCGCATGAAACCGTTCACTGCATGTTCTTAACTTTCTTTTTTTGATAATTCGCTGGTCTTTGTGATGTTTACTTTTGTAACTTGCTTGTTAGTTCATGACTTTTTTTCTTATTGTCACGCTCTTTATTTTCTACTTTCCTTGTATCTGGGTTTTCTATTTCCTTTTTTTTTTTCTTCCCGCGTTTATGCTATAGCATCGGGCCATGCTATGTATTTTTCCTTTTTTCTCGTTCTTTTTATCTTTTTTTGCATTTTTTGGAAGGAGGGATAATACCATCTACCTGTAATGGGTTGAGAGCAAGAGCGGCTCTCGCCCTAAAAAAAAAAGTAAAGACCGCATGCTTTTTTTTCGCTCGAGAGCCAGTCGCGACAGACGCGCTTTTCGAGAGCTGGCTAGATCTTGGTTAATTAAAATACCTCTGAACTTCCGAAGTCTTGTGACAATATGAACTATGGTATTCAAAACACTCCTTAAGCTACTTTTGCCACATCACTTCGTCCTTCAGAGAATCGTGGTACCCGCTACACACTGGCAAGAAATTCTGTGCAATTTTTCGGTGCAGCGGCTGATGACGAAGAATTATGCCTGAAGCTTTTGTAATGTGTTGGAGCATTTGACGACCCACTCGTTATGTAATTCGTATTGTGTGATGCCTGGCTGCTCCTTTGCTGATCTAAAACACATTATTACGCATATTAACGGGATTCCTTTCCCAACATCAAGCCTGCCTAAGGCCAGTTTGCAACGGAGTTTCAAGCACCGCCTTAGCTCTGTGGTAGAATACTGCGATGGCACACAGGGGACCCGGGTTCGAATACCATTGTGTGCTTCATCTTTTTATTTACTTTTTTTCTTACATTTCGCGATAATGGTTACAGACAACTACCAGGCATGCAAACCTCATTCTGATCTCATAACAGCTTTCACTGTAAAACCCCCAGCATAATACTAAGCCCAATGCAATCAAGCAGGTCTAACAACTAGTAAAAATATGCAGCGCACCAATAGAAAACGACAGATGACTAAGGATGAGAGAGGAAAACACAAGGGCTAACAAACTAATGCTTAAGTGCGCACTTGTGTTATGCCCTCCCCTTCTATCTAAATTGTCTTTCAATTCTAGTAGCGTGCTGAAAATTTTCACTATGTCCAACCAACTGGCCTCAACCCTGGCTCTTCTACCAACTGGCCCTGTTCATTGCTATAATAAGGGATGGAAGCATAATTGCCATACCGTGACTCGATCATCTTCTTGGCCGCCTCTGCATACTTGGAGAGCTGCTTGCGAGCGTCCCCAGCAAACTTTGGTCGCACAAGCTTGATGGGGATGTCGTTCATAATCTCCCGGTACATGCACTGTGAGACCTCTGGATGGCATGCACTTGGCAGCAATGGGTCATGACCCTTGTCCGCAACTTTGCGCTCCATCAACCACCGAATGAAAGATTCTTTTGGGCACTCAATTCCTAGGGAGGCAAAGAGAAAAATGCTTGATCGGCACCTACAAATACCTTTACAATAAATAAGATAACACACATTGGTGTATTGGATCTAATGTCCGGAAACAAAAGCCTTACAAAGAGGCATCATGAGATGAGGCTTCAGTTTACATCATCAATGGCACAACTTTTTACAACGACCTAATCGCTCCTCAAACTTTCAACCCATAAGGCTCAATAAGACCCTGTCTGTAGTGCCACAGAGCTGCTCCACTCGCCTATATTCCATCAATGTGTATGCATGTCAATGTGTATGCATGTGTATGGTTGGGCATATTTGCCCAACCAATACAGCAACTGCTGCTGCAGTTGCATGTGGCCTGTTACTTGCAGTTCAGTATACACACTTAACATCAAAGCCCATTGCTCGTGATGAGGCCTTGATAGTACATAGACAAGTGATTTGCTTTCATTTGAACCCACACTGTACACTACACACACAAACTAGACTGGTACTATTGCAGTCGGCTTTGCTTAATTCAAACTCGAAGGGACCTCAGAATTTTGTTTGAATTATCGAAAAGCTTAAATTATCAGATGTTTTCAGATATATAAATCTGGGCTAGGTGACACCACACATTATGATCAGGCATAAATTTTATCACATTTAAAAATTTTTTAAGCATCTTTAAACCCTAACTGCACCCAACAGAAAAAAAACAGAGGTGTAAGGTCCACTAGTTAATTTGCCATTTACTGCCTTTTAAAGAAATTTGAATCGCCAACTGCATTTTGTTATATGCGCATTCAACACAAACCTCTCTATACCATTGAGAAGCATTACGGTTAACCATGTATTTGCTCCATTTAGAACATTAGTTTACTGGCAAAACCTTTTTCCTCGAAGGCCTAAGGAGCTTATTTGTCATTTTTACACTGTTAGGATTATATAAGCATGCAAATTTTTAAATAGTAGTGAGAAAGCAGCAGATATTTTCCGTTATGAGATCGCAAAATGTATGAATTAACCAAATGATGAGTATGAATTAAAAGGCTTTTAAATACAATGAAAGTATGGAGGGCCAATCAAAAAATTGAATTTTGTTCGAATTAACCTATATATGCTTACCAAAACTTAGAAAAATTAACAAAACTAATTTATTTCCCCAAAATGATTGCTTCTACGACCTCAGAAAACAAAATAAGGCTCTTATTTGAAAAAAAATTTTTTTTTTTGAACAATGATTTTAGAGCTGTCCTATACGTAGGACACCAATGTTTGACACACCATGAACAAAAAACATTAGTGCCTATCACTGCCATACGTAAGTTACTGCACACCCAATAACTGATGAACAATCGACGAATATATCAGGAGCATCGAGAACAATTTGACTTTATATTACTTATATTTTGTCTTTCGCGGTATAATGCTCAGTTATACACACACAAAATAGCCATTTCGTGATTGCAAGTATTTGTCTATCTGTAGCCCAGCGATCACCCAGAATTGCATGTGAGCCCCGCCGCGATGGTCTAGTGGCTAAGGTACTCGGCTGCTGACCCGCAGGTCGCGGGTTCGAATCCCGGCTGCGGCGGCTGCATTTCTGATGGAGGCGGAAATGTTGTAGGTCCATGTGCTCAGATTTGGGTGCACGTTAAAGAACCCCAGGTGGTCGAAATTTCCGGAGCCCTCCACTACGGCGTCTCTCATGATCATATGGTGATTTTGGGATGTTAAACCCCACATATCGATCAATCAATCAAATCAGAATTGCATGTGATGAGGACAGGGCATCATAAACACCCCTTAAGCGGCGCTACCTTTTTTTTCAAAAAAAAAAAAACATTAGAGTTACACTGAAAAGTTTCACTGTCCTACATGTAGGACACTACGTATTGTGGGCATTTAGTATACGCATCCTCTTCACCGGTACATTATCATCATTATCATGTGTGGCTCATGCATCCCCATCGTTGTCGCGAAGCATCATCATCTTGGTCCGATCATCTCAGCTGTCGGCTGCCGGTTCTTCGGGCCTAATAAAGGTCTTCCAAACCAAGACTCCATACGTGGTGGAGCGTGCTGTTGGATCCCCCGCCATCCTCTCGACCACTCTACCCCCTGGAGCTACGTTCAGGTCGCCGCTTGGGCCAGGTGTCCGGAAATATGTCGCACCAAGAAGAGGTCGGTGCTGCAGCCGTTCCCACTCCGCCACCGCGTGCCGCGCCTTTTCACGTCATTAACAGCCTCCAGCGTGAGCCCCATCCCTTCGCTGGTATGCGCGGGGAAGATGTGGAGGAATGGCTGGACGATTTCGAACGGGTCGGCGCTGCTAACCGGTGGGATAACACCTACAAACTCGCTTACGTGTCATTCTACCTCACGGGTGTCGCGAAGACGTGGTTCCTTAACCACTTCATGGACATCCCCGACTGGTCAGCCTTCAAAGATCAGCTTCGCCATGTCTTTGGAACACCGGCTGTCCGTTCAGCTCTCGCAAGGAAAGCTCTTGCGACTCGGAAACAGCACATCGGGGAGTCGTATACATCCTACATCGAGGATGTCCTTTCACTTTGCCGCCGGGTTGACACCCCAATGACAGAGTCAGACAAGGTACGCCAGCTTCTTAAGGGCATTGGACCCGTCGCATTCAATGCCCTTGCAATCCAGAATCCGGCTACCGTTGCTGACGTTGCGACAACCTGTCAGCGCCCTCGAAGAACTTGAGTCGATGCGCCTACAACCAGACAGTGACGCGGCCCGTATTACGACTGATCCAAACCTACGAGAAACGATAAGGGTGATAATACGCGAAGAATTAGAATCAATGGGATTCACACTACCATCAGTATCTACCATTCAGCCTTCTTCAACGTCATTGCGGGATGTCATCAGGGAAGAGCTCACGTCCATGACCCACATGGCCAACCTGCAGCCCATTGTCTCTCGTACTCTACCATCGTTCCCGCACACCGCCGCCGCACCACCAGGCACCGTCAGCTCGACGTCCCCGCCACGAACGTACGCGTCGGTTGCTGCCGCACCTCCCACAAGCTTTCCCACGAGCTTTTCATCACCACCGCGTGAGCCGTCACCTGTCCCTCTGACTTCTCTCTCTCCTGGTGCAGTTAGCGCAAGCTACTACCCTCCTCATCGATCGACTCGGCCTACGTGCTATTATTGCGGCTATCGTGGTCACATTGCACGCTTTTGCCGCAAGCGCCAGCAAGACGAGCGCCGAGGGTATGACATACGCGAACGGGACTATACCGCAGGAGCCTTGTACCAGGGTCGCCGTTATTCGTCACCGCCGCGTCGGTCTCCATCTCCGCCAGCATCGGGTGAACTGCGCAGTAGTCACCGATCAACCCGACGCCGTTCACCGTCGCCTTACCGTCGCTCTTCTTCTCCTCTTCAGCCCGCTTCCCTTACTTCTGATCGGCGTCCGGAAAACTAAGCGATGCAGTTTTTGGAGGACAAACTGCATTCCAACACAAGACTCCAATTCCTCCAGCGCGCCCCTACAATATGATTGCGGTCACAGTTGAGGGAGTGGACGTTGATGCTTTGGTGGACACTGGGGCTGCGTTTTCTGTTATTCGTGCTGATTTGTGTGCCCGTCTTCGAAAGTCACGACGCCTTATGATGGACCGACACTGGTTACAGCCCAGGGAACAATGATTCGCCCTTCCGCTCTCTGTACTGCCCGTGTACTAATCGACGAAATTCTTCATCATATAGAATTTGCTGTGCTATCCCCGTGCTCCCATGAACTCATTTTAGGCTGGGACTTTCTTTCCTCTGCTTCTGCGGCTATTTGCTGTGCACAACGTGTCGTCCATCTTACTGACACGGACCACTTGCTCAACGACGAAACCTACAGGCCACTTCGACTCATCGCTGCAGTAGACATCGAGTTACCACCAAACGAACATCAATTAGTGACAGTTTTGTCCAACGACGTCGACTCTGGTGACATTTTGGTCACTCCGTCACCGTATTGCCTTAATAAAGGCATAGATCTGGCATCAGGTGTGGCTCGCTTCAACGATGGATCAGCTGTCCTCGCTGCTACGAACACCACAACAGATAAAATTTTACTGCCGCGGGGCACTACTGTCGCCTGCGTTGCCGATCTGGAGCCTGTGTGCGTCGTGCCTCTTACCCCTGCCTCCTCTAAAGGCCATCCTGGAGATCATGCTGCTTCCTCGGCCTTTACAGCAGCCATCAACAAGGACTTGACAGACTTGCAGAAGCAGCAGCTGCTTGATTTGTTGCAAAAGCATGCAAACTCTTTTGACGTTCATTCATCCAGCCTGGGTCAGACAACTGCTACAGCACATCGTATTCAGACCGACGGAACATCCATTGTGCATCGTCGTCCGTACCGCGTCTCCCTAGCCGAACGAAAAATCATTGAGGAAAACGTAGACGATATGCTGCAACGGGAGATAATCCGACCCTCAACCAGTCCTTGGTCGTCTCCAGTGGTTTTGGTGCGTAAAAAAGACGGTTCCGTACGATTTTGCGTCGATTACCGAGCACTCAATAAGATCACTAGAAAGGACGTATACCCCATGCCACGCATCGACGACGCCCTAGATTCCTTACAGGGTGCTGAATACTTTTCGAGCCTCGACTTGCGTTCAGGCTATTGGCAAATCCCCATGCACGAAGATGATAAAGAAAAAAACTGCGTTTGCAACGCCGGACGGCCTATACGAATTCAATGTTATGCCGTTCGGTCTATGCAATGCGCCCGCAACTTTTGAGCGCATGATTGACACCGTGCTGCGTGGCCTGAAATGGAAGACTTGCCTATGTTACCTCGATGACATTGTTGTCTTTTCATCAACGTTTTCTCAACATCTGCAACGCTTGGACGAGGTCCTGACTTGTCTTGCGGGCGCTGGTCTTCAAATTAACACCAAAAAATGCCATTTCGCCAGCAGATCTATCAAGGTACTCGGTCATATTGTGAGCAAGGACGGAATTCGCCCAGACCCTGATAAAACTGCTGCAG